TTGGGTGGTGTTAACCTTTAACAATGAGCACTGAAAAAAATAAACATGCAAATATTCCAATGCAGGAAATGACACAATTTTTATGTAATATTACCGCACAATATCAGCAATAGCATTAAGGAGACAAAACTAAATCTGTATATCATTTCTATCGCTCCATCGAAAATAATTATCCATTAGAGTGGTGCTTCAATTGAAAAGCTAAATGCACAGTTTAAGTACATCCATGTTGACTGTTTCACCTACCACTACCATAGCTTGTCTTGTGATTTACACATCTCTACCAAACACACATTTATTTGCTGGTTCAGTAATTCTGCTTTCTCCTGCTTGTACACTGGGCAAAGAGTAATAATCACCTCTGTCTAATAAGCATTGGGGTGATCCAGGAAGCAGTAAGGCTGAACAAGGAAAGAATAGAGTGCTCTTGCTGGCTGTCTAGTGTAGCAGAGGTGTGAAAATGTATCACTTTAAAGTTAGCCATATACTATGCAAATTACGGCTGGTTCTTCATGAAATTCCAAAATTCGCAGTGTGTGCTGCTTTTGGCACACTTCTGGCTGGCATCCCTCAATCAGCTGATCGAAGGAGCCAGTTGGAAAATCTTCGAGCCAATGAGCTGCAAGTGCCGTCCGTGTATTCTGACAGCGGCCGTTGAACGCTGTCAGAATCCAGAGGAAGCAGCACGGGATTTCTCCATCAACGCACAGAGCGTTGAAGGATGAATTTCTATTTTTTTTGTTCAGCCCACAGCAAAAAGAAACAGAACAGTATATAGCCAACTCAGCAATCAGTAAAAAACGAATGTATTGCCTAGAATCCACCTTGAAATGGGTTTGAAAGTGCAAGTCAACTATTATGTTGCAGAGTGCTGGTGGTAAAATATAAATAGTGATACAATGAAAGCTTCAAGGACTAGGGGTTTCCGCTAAATGTATTTTATTGTCAAATCTTTTTTTCTTAACCCTTGAACACATCTGATTCCTTTTTTATACAAATACTAATTCAGCAGCATATGAACCTGTATAGTAGAACACGGAGCTGTGACAATTAAGAACGCATTAGAAAATGATAGTCCTCAATATGAGGACTTAAGGACTTCTCACCCAATTACAGTTTCTTCAGGCAATTTACCGTAAAGCAAAAATAGCACAGCTACTCTAAATCAGCAACCCTATGCAGTAAAAGTACCACTCCATGATTCTCCTATATTATACATTTACAACAGTAGACTAGTTAAGTGCCTAAACTCTGCATTATTCTAGTAAAAACTAGAATTTACCAATAGTGCTTCTTTAAAGTGAAGGTTGTGGGCTGCATCAATATTCAGTGTATTCATTTGTATAGAGGAAGTACTCCTCCTGGGCCCATAGCAACCAATTAGGTTGCACATTCCAGTCCTGAAGTGCAATATAGAAGAATGGAAGAGAGACTATGAGTGGCTGATATAAGCTACATAAACAGTTCTTCATTCATATCATGATCTGATAAATAATATCCAACTTTCAGTGACACATGGGTCTTAAATTTAACAGTAAATCCTTAAGCTGGCCATACAGGTATAGTTTTTTCTTATTCAAAACATTGTGGAGCGAGGAATCTTCCCTGCCAGCTATTGTATTTGGCCGACAATTTTCTGTCACCCTTAATTTTTCAATCGCAGTTTGTAGAGGCAAAATTCTAACAGTTTATGGCCAGCTTTAGTCTTCATTCTTTCGGCTCAGTCTGAAAAACATATGCCTACACTCTGGATTCTTTTTAATATTAAAAGTAAAGTAGTAGAAAGGTTCTGCGGCACATAACAGCCAATCCACCTACAGTCTTAGCAATGTCATGTAGTCAGCCTGATTAATTCTCATCTGGCTGGCAATTGGTTGGAGTCTGGCACTTCACATTGATGGTGAAAATTTCACCATTGCCGACAGTATCTGGGGAAAAATAAAAACCTTGTTGTCGTTCAAGTAGGATGGATTTCCCTTCTATTCTGCAATGTGCCACAGTAACATGAAAATGAGAAGCTTTTAGCATTATTTTGGCAACCAGACTCCCATCATGGGGCCTCATGTTACTAAAGATAAGGCTTATGTGGCCTGGACAGATTAACTTACTATGTCATGGGGGCTAATTCTGTAGGGCCAAGGGCAAATGGTCTATTACCCATAATAGTCAAAATCCATCTTTCACTAATCTAAACATACTAAAAGTTGATTTTGTATGATTAAAAGTTAGTTTTGTACGGATTGCTGCAGCTTGAAGATCATCATTGTCTTGTCTATGACGTTAAGAACTCTTGTTAGGGTGGATACTACAGAGCAATGGAAGAGATTAAATACTAACCTGTCCTGAAGAAAATGCTACTCCAGGATCCTTCCTGTGCCAATTATGTGACCAGAAATCTAGGAATCTGCTCAGTGATCTCTTTCGAAGCCAATGTACCTGTTGATTCTCCTCTTCAGCAAAGGTCACCAGATGACTTGGTCACATAGACAACATTGGAGGGTACCTAGAGCAGCCTTTTCTTGTTAGCGTGGATAATACAGAGAAATGGAAGATATTAAATACTTACCTGTCCTGAAGAAAAATCTGCTCTAGGCTCCTTCCAGTGCCAATGATGTGACCAGAAGTCTAGGAATCTGCTCAGTGATCTCTTCTGAAGGCAATGTAGCTACTGATTCTCCTCTTCTGCAAAGGTCATCAGATGACTTGGTCACAGACAACATTGGAGGATACCTAGAGCAGCCTTTTCTTCAGTAAAGTTGAGTATTTTTAACCCTTCCATTAGTTTGTATTTATCTATCCCAACAATGCTGCTAGCACAGCTTTAAAAGGAACCTGAAGATAACCAAACTATTAAAGTTGCATTATCAGCCGGTAGACAACAGTCCTTTTTTTAATTTTGCGGCTAATGCGTTCAGTTTCCACAACTTGGAAGCTGAGAAACAACAGAGTCTCTGGCTAGAAGAGAAGGTCTAGGAGGAAGACCGTGCTCTCAGCAAGCTGCTACAGACATTACTTTACTAATCCCAAATACCAAAAGGGGAGCTTTATTAATGTTTGAATAAGGACCACTTTTACAGATGCATAGCTTCTGTGTAGGTGCACCTTCCCTATAGTTGAACCTAATGTGCAGGAAAGAGTGAGTACTTTAGTTTTCCAAGCAGCTTTGTGCATACATCCTGCTTACTGCATCTTCAACTATATCTACACAATAAGACACACATATGGCTGTAAATAAAAAGCAGGAAGAACCCTCCATTAAACACTGCACAAGAATAGGCTTAGGATGCGTGCTAAGCACAAGTGTAAAACAAAATGTTGCCAAACACGATCAACAGCACAAAGCAATATTTGACAGATATTCTGGCACAAGACATCAGTCTCTGCCCAAGAGTTTCACCCAGTCAATCTAGTAAAAAATAAAGCTGCTTCATGGACTGTAAGAAAATCTAAATCTTTATACCCTTTATTCATATGTCACCTTTTTAAATAACTACAGAGTTAAATATCCTTTTTTATTATAGTATCAAAAGGCTTCTGTTTGTGTCCTTGAAGAAACACTTTCACCTGTCCATTCAGGGCAAAGCAACAGTGCCTCCCGATAGCCCACACCCTAGCATGGTATACTCACCAATCCACATTGCCTCTCCACCTCATTGCTCAGTCATAGCCCTCAGTCTGCTGACATAATGTAACACAGATTCTGATTATGAGGGAGCTTGTGACCCTTGCAATTTGATAGTGTTTGAGCCTGATCACTGAATTGCCAAGCCTGAACACTGTTACATGGGGGGAATGGCAGGGATGTCATTCACTTGGGTCATCTGCAACACCGGAGGTGGTTAAGGAGTGTGGATCAGCGAGCATACCTTGAGGGGGGTCGCTTACTAGACACTGTCACTTTTCCCTGAACGAGTAAGTGACAGTAGGGGGTGATTCAATAAAGCATGTGTAACACTTTATTTTACATTATGGCTGTATTAGAAAGTCCTGTGCCTATGTTATGAAGGCAATGCAACGATTTTCCTGCCATTGCCAATGTATGCAACAAATTCAGGTAGTTCTTATGCGTGACACTTTTACATTCACAGTGCCATGGCTGTCACTAATTCATTAGGAATGCAGCAATAACATTGATAAGAAATAGGACCTGTTCCATGTTGGAGTAAATTGTGTCACACATGTAAGTATTGAGTGGCAATTCTGCAACAGATTCATATATACGAAAGTTACACAAATCTGTTGCAAATTGCACCATTTGCTTACTAATGAGTGTCTACAACATCCTTTATGAATTCCAGGGAGTGTCTCTTAAAGGACGACAGCTTATTAATGCAGATCTTTTACATGAAAGCTAAAAAGAGCAATACAAGGTTAAAATGATGCTTACAGCAGCCTGTCAAATTCCCACCATTTTGTTTTTAAATATCTAATTTTGATGACTGTTCAGTTGCTGATCACACCTTATGTATAAAGCATCAAAACTGCTGCTTTCATGGCAGATGACACATTTTAAAAAATTAGGCGAGGTTAGCGTTCCAGTTTTATGTTTTTTTGTGGCCACTTATTTAACAGCAGACTTTTTTTTCTAGAAAATATGGTATGAACGATCAGGTATTATATAGGGGAAAAAAAATACATTCAATGAACAAAATCCTGTAACATAAGAGTGGTTTTAGCTTATCATCACTACTTTGAATGCACCATCAGTACAAACTGCAGCTTTATAAAACAAGTCAGGACACTTATGTAAAGGCTCAACATAAACATGTCATTTAAAGAGGCAGATAAAAAAAGTTAACCCCTGATCGCTCTTTTTTGATTTTTTTTTCCTGGCTCCAAAGCCAACAAATAAAAATAATATTAATATTTTCTTGTTTATTTTATTGAAAAAATATATATATCTCTTTTTCATCAGAAAAACAAATCTTGTGCAT